CTGGTATATTGGAAACTATTGTTTCATGGGGTTTGCTTTTTGTGTTGTTGTGGTTCTTTTGTGTTTTTGGTTGTTTCCTATTTCTCCATCTTGGTCATAGATCTATATTTTGTATAAAGTAAGCATTAATTTTAACGAGTTACTGGTGTTGAGCAAGTTGGTTGTTCTAATGACTAAAGGCATTTTGTCTCATTTGGCTTTGCTTCTCAGCCATTTCCCTCTACCTGGGAAAGCCACAGTTTAATGTGGTTGACAGGTTACTAAGGTGAAGAAGAGACCCTCTCTCCCGGTGGATGGGAGGGCCCCAAAGGCAAGGAGTGATCCAGCAGATAAAGTTCATTGTTATTCCATGTGGTTTTGTAACTCTACCTGTGCTACTTCTCTAGATAGAGCTAATTTGCAGAAGTTGTGTGACAGTGGCTATAGCCTTCCTTTGGGCTGTATCCAAATTCACACAGTCCTGCTACAGCTCACCAAAAAAGCTCTTGCCCCTTGAAAAAAATCTCCTTCAGATTAATTTTTGGTCAAAGAGCTAAAGAAAACAACATCATGGCCTTATTTAAGGCATATGCTTTTGATACAACAAAAGAAAATAAATCAAATTACACGATGTCATCCCATTGTAGTTTGTAAGGGTCCAGATACATATGCTCTCAGAAACTTTGCTGTCTGATTCCATGTGGATTTTCATTAGTGTTTGAACCTCATAATCATAAAAATACCTTTTTTTTTTTAACCACATGGCTTCAACAGCTGATGAAGTATACCTACTTTAGTTTGAAGGCTTTGTAGACTTTTGGCCACTAGGTGGTGGTATTGACAAGTGCACTTTACATACTCCATTTATTACTTGAAGCTTTTAGAGATATATAAACAATTAAAAAATAAGACAAGCTACAAAAATTTGAAATAAAAAAATTAAGTAGATAGCGTGCAATGGCTCATGTCTATAATCCCAGCACTTTGGGAGGCTAAGGCAGGGGAATCCATTGAGCCCAGGAGTTAGAGACCGGCCTAGGCACATAGTGAGACTTGGTCTCTAGTAAAAATAAGAATAAAACTAGCCAGACATGATGGCATGTGCCTGTAGTCCTAGCTACTCAGGAGGCTGAGGCAGGAGGATCACTTGAGCCCAGGAGGTGGAGGCTGCAGTGAGCCGTGTTTGCGCCACTGAACTCCAGTCTGGGCAGCAGAGTGAGATCCTGACTTAAAAAATATTTATATATTATTATTTTGAGATAAAGCCTTGCTCTGTCACCCAGGCTGGACAGTACAGTGGCGTGATCTTTGGCTCACTACAACCTCTGCCTCCTGGGTCTAAATGATTCCTCTCCTGCAGCCTCCCAAGTAGCTGGGACTACAGGTGCACGCCACCACACCCAGCTAATTTTTGTATTTTTAGTAGAGACAGGGTTTCACTATGTTGGCCAGGCTGTTCTCAAACTCCTGACCTCAGGTGATCCACCCGCCTCAGCCTTCCAACGTGCTGGGATTATAGGTGTGAGCCACTGCACCTGGCCAAAAATTATTAAAAGTAAAATTAGAAAAATATTCAAGTGGTTGGAAATAACTTGAATTTTAGCACCGTTCGTGATAGAGTAGTTACAAAGGTAGGCACTTTTTGAGTAGCAGTAAATTAACTTAGTAATTGTAAAGACCTGGAGAATATAATCCTGTTACCTCATTCTAGGTTACTTACCTTTATGTGTGATAATTATGTACCTTTATGTGTGATATATTTTAAAGAAGCCTTACTGGAGTACTGTAAGGCATATTATGTAATAGTTATATGTTGCCTAATGTTTTGTATCTGTTTCTTTGATCTGTTACTTTAGGTTTGCTAAAAGATGTTAAGCTTCCAAATACAAAATTTTCTTAAGTTTGAATTTTGTTAATAAAAATATAGAAATGTGGGGGAAAAATAGAAACTTGAACAGTACTTTTAAGTTAGGAAACTTTAAGGTCCTAAGGCTATTTCTTGGTTTCAGTATGAAAAATATTTTGTGTATAACCTTGTTTGCTCATAAAATTGACACACTTGTTATGTACTAAAACTTGGCTATTTAGAATCCTCAAGGAATGAGTCATTTGGAAAAGCCAAGTTTCTAAAACATCTGAGGAATTTTCTCTGTAGGCACCAGTTTTTTTCTAAATTCCAGTGGAAGTGTTCCTAAAATGGATCACTTACTTTCCTGTCTTCCTCAGTGAGCCAAGTAGAAAAGATTCTGCCCTTTCTCAATGAATTGAGGTTCTTCCTATATCAGGAATTGTTCTCCTCTGTATGGCAGTGTTTTAAAGCCTGCCACTGACTATGTGGAATATTTTTTGTTTGTTTGTTTGTTTTGAAATGAAGTCTTACACTGTTGCCGGGCTGCAGTGCAGAGGTGCAGTCATGGCTTACTGCCACCTCAATCTCCCAGTACCAAGCAATCCTCCTACCTCAGCCTCCCAAGTAGCTGACACTATAGGCATGCACCACTGTGCGTGGCTAGCTGTTTTAAATTTATTTTTTGTAGAGATGGGATCTCACTGTGTTGCCCAAGCTGGTCTTGAACTCCTAGGCCCAAGCAGTCCTCCTGCCTGGATCAACCAAAGTGCCTAGTATTCTTTACCTTTGTGTAGAATGTCTCCAAATTGCTATACCTTTGAGTTCCTGTGACTGCTCTTTGTGAAATATTTTCTTTTTTTTTTGAGACAGAGTTTTGCTGTGTTGCCCAGGCTAGAGTGCAGTGGCACAATTTTGGCTCATTGCCACCTCTGCCTCAGCCTCCCGAATAGCTGGGACTACAGGTGTGCACTACCACACCTAGCTAATTTTTGTATTTTTTAATAGAGATGAGCTTTCACCATGTCAATCAGGCTGATCTTGAACTCCTGACCTCAGTCCGTTTGCCCACTTTGGCCTTCCAAAGTGCTAGGATTATAAGCATGAGCTACCGTACCCAGCCTCTTAGTGGATTCTTAAAATCTCTTCTTGCTGTCACTTTGTGTTGCCTATGGCCTGCCTGTGACTAGCACTTCCTTTCACGTTTCCTTTTTTGTTGATTCTGATTAAATGATAGTTATTTCAGTTACGTTTGGAAAAAAAAGATAGTCTATTAGTCTTTTCTTAATGGTGTATATGGGTCTTAATGTATGAATTTTATAATTTTGGGATACTTAGAGCCTTATAAAATACCTGGATTTAGAATGTGTATGAAAATATTTAGATATTTGGAGGTGATGGGCGGAATCTGAAAAGCTGGGTGAAAGTGTTTGCTTTTGTTTTTGGCCCCTTCTCTGGCCTTCATATCTCTATTTAGGAATCCCTTTGCTTTGGGATGGTATAAGTACGTGACACTGGAAACCTATTTGAGGCAGATACTCACAGTACTTCACCACTCCTTGCTATTTACTTTCCTTTTTTTCATTTTACTCCCCTAGCCACTTTGACTTTTTTGGACTTTGTTTGCACGGCTGTATTATTCTTCCTTTGTACTCTCTCCTTTATTAGCATTTGGTAATGTTAGGAACTTTGATGAGCCTTACTAGCAGTTTTAAAGCAAAGAAAGCTGCTGGACCCTTTTGTGAGATTTAGCATTAGTTAAATATTAAAAATAATTCCCACTAGGTGTGTGATTTAAATAAAAACCTCATACAGTTATTTTCATGAGATTTACAGTGCTGTTTCTTGTGGCATTTGACCAGCTCTAACTTTGGCAATCAGGTTTAGCCATTAAATTTTCTCCTCCGTCTCCACCTCCCTTTCCCCACCCTCATTTCCTTTGGATTTTTCACTTCCTTTCTTTGTTTACTGCACTCATGTTCATAGTTGCCTACATTCATGTGGAATAAATGTTTCATGTCCATAATTCTTGGCTCCTAGGAGATAAAAATTGTATGCAATAATGTTATTGATCATATTTCATTGGTTTTCTGTAATGTGCTCTGTGCAGCACCTCTAGGCATGTTACTGTCAGATTAAGTATATATTTTAATACTTTCTGAGACTATTAATTTAGAGCTTGAATATTTAACCAGTCCGGCACATCATAAGGCAAGTTGTTGGCTGAATACTTTGTATTGTAGCCATAACACTTGAATTCAAGAAGGGTCATGTTTGGGAGGCCCCTAGCAATGCATAGAGACAATATTCATTCCACCAAACTTGACGGAAATATGTGCATAAGAATTTATTGTACTGATTTCAAGGCCAGAATTTTGCATTAAGCACATACTATTCTACCTTTCTATTATAAAGTCATTTTTTATTACCTGCAGTCCTACCCTGCAAACATCTACATTGTGTGTAACCTTTTGCTTACATCCATAGTCAAAATGAAAGAAGCGTAACCTTGAAGTTGCTGGGTTATTTCAATCCTACTAGGAACAGCTTTTGTGGTTCACTAATGGAAATAGTCTCAGACTTTTGTTCAGAAGGGCTGCAATTAGGGACCTTAGTAATGGATGGATTTGTTGCTGCTCAGAATATTCCTTCAGGCAAAGGAAGTACACTGCCTGTGCCATGTGGAGTTCATTGTGCCATCAGTTTAATGACAGAGATCTCATAAAGATCATTTCTGCTTTTTTTTTTTTTCTATTTGTTTATTCAGTCTCTCTTTGTCTACCTTAATTTTTCTCCTTTTTTGGTGTTCATTACAATTGAGGTCTTATTTCAAGATAAGTTTATACCGATTGCTTTGTATTCCCCTAGCAGCACGGGCAGCATCATCATACATTATCTTACAGTGTGTATACATGTTGTTGAATCACCACCAATATGTTAGAAATGTGGAAAGAGAATAAAGTACTAAAGAGCATGAAGACCTAGGTTCTAGTCCTGGCTCAGCCACTGACTAATTGTGTGACTTTGGGAAGTCATTAAATCTGGGCCTCAATTTCTTTATCTTCGAAATAAAACAGCATTTGCTTAATGTGCCATTTTAATAGTATAAGAAGCTGTGTGTTCTTGGAATTGTTGAATATGCAAATATACTGAAAACTGTGGTTTTCTTTTTCAGGACAGTGGCTTTGTTCATATTCATACTCCAATAATCACATCGAATGACTGTGAGGGAGCTGGAGAACTTTTTCAACTTCATGTAAGTTGTGCTTCCCATCTTGAGGGATACATTGCTGTTTAATATTTTGCATCTGAGGTTTTGAAATGTAATACTAGTTTTGTGGACAGAAGACTATGAGCAGCACCTGAAATTGTCGTAAAAATCCTTGAAAAAGTCACATAAACAATCAAACCAGTCTGATTTCCTGTACTACCAGCCGTCTTACACTGTGACAGAAGAGTGAATTTTTAAATTAGCACTCTCTTTGCTTTTCTTAAGTTACTGTGAATTGGTGAACTAGAGAAATTTGAAGAGGTAAATGAGGATTTTAAGTTATCTCTTATGCAGATTCAATCCAGTTAGTATTTATGGATGTAAGTCATGTTTTAGAAATAAAAATAGGAAAGTATACGTGTATCATTTTCTTTTTCAAAGTCTTCTGAAAGTTAATTTTTCCTAAGAATGATTTATGTTCTGTATATCCCATGAAGCCTCTTTAATTTGTTTAGCAATCATCTTCTGAGTTCCTAGCATTGTCAGCCTGCCCTTATTGCAGATCATTTTTTAAGTTACCAGTTTTTCTTACTTGTAGGCAGTTGAAAGCCTTGCATTTACCAGTTTGATAGCTGTTTAAAATCATTGGCCAGTTGTATAATAATGGACAGAGAGAATGATATAATGAGTGGTGCTTTGGTATTTCTTTTGTTTGTTTACTGATTTCTTTTTTTTTTTTTTTTTTGAGACCGAGTTTCACTCTTGTTAACCAGGCTGGAGTGCAATGGTGCAATCTCGGCTCACCACAACCTCCACCTCCTGGGTTCAGGCAGTTCTCCTGCCTCGGCCTCCTGAGTAGCTGGGATTACAGGCACGCGCCATCATGCCCATCTAATTTTTTTTTTATTTTTTTATTTTTAGTAGAGACGGGGTTTCACCATGTTGACGAGGATGGTTTTCATCTCTTGACCTTGTGATCCACCCGCCTCGGCCTCCCAAAGTGCTGGGATTACAGGCTTGAGCCACCGCGCCCAGCCTACTGATTTCTTTATCTTTAAGGTGTCAGGATTCTTGTTCATATATTTGGTTGATTCTATCAAATGACAAAATGTGTGTGTAACTGCTTTCTCTGGTTCAGTGCTTTCTGACTCTTAATAATGGTAGTGCTTCTTTATATTATTGAACAAAATATTCTCTGGGAGAAATTGTCCTGATATGTTGAAGTCATTCAGAATGATAATCAAATGCTGTCTTCAATCAAATGCTGTCTTCATCATACATGGCTGGAAGAAATCTTGATGCTGATCAGCCTTCTGCAAAAAGCAGAATAAAAATGCCTTGTTGAACGTTTAAAGTGGGAGTATTAGCATCTGTATATATGAATTAAAAGAAGGCAGCAGATGACAAAATAACCAAATGTAAATTCTGGAAAACATTCTCGCCTAGTTGTTTATTTTCTCTTTGCACCTTAATTTTTTGCATATTGAAGTGAAGAATTACTCACTGTATTTCTAAATTCCTTAATCTAAACCACTGAATATTCAATAAATGACTGGGAAAGAAAGGCATAATTTAAAGGAGTCTTTACAAATAAGAAGGAATTATTAAACAGACTCAAATTAAACAAGTAAAAAAGTTTTTAACATGCTTAAATAAAGATACATTTGGAGATAACTGCATTGCTACCAGGGAAGTTGGATCAGCAACTCTGAGTGATCATATATATAAATATGTATATCGGCTTCTAAACCTAAGACAAGTTACCATATAAGTGTGACTAAATAGGAAGAGGAGAAAATATATATTTCTGAAGATAAACAAATGAGAAGTATATTATGTTTATATTATTTCAGAGCCAGGGAAAGGAATTTGTGGGATTTTTTTTTTCTTTTATTGTGGGATTAAATTTGCCTATGCAGAGTACCAGAAAGAGACACTCTTGAATTCATTGATCCTAGGCTCCTACAGTCAGGATCTAGCTCAGGTTTCAGCTCATAGTGCTATCTGGCTTTTATGCTATGTTGATCTGTTGTGTTTGTTGCTTTCAGAAGTTCAACTGCAAAGACTTGTCTTCTGCCCCTGCCAACCCTGTATCTTTTTAAAGCAGTGCTGCTGCTTATCCCACCTCACATACTTCAGTTTCAAGATTCATTGTGTTAATTTCCTCTTGGCTGCCTGTAGAAGCATAGGAATTTGAATTTTAGGAGGAGGTGGGCTTTCATATTTAAATTTTTGCTTCTCTTAATGGTGCACAGTTTTTTCTCTGACAGAAATGAAGTGTCATTAAGTACTGTGTTAAAAGATAAGAGGGCAGCTTTAAGAGGTCACCTTGAAAAAACACAGTAAGAACATATACTTCTGATACTCTGTTGAGAAGTGAATGCATGCCCTATCATGTTACTTTACTTTCCCTCATCCATTTCCTGCTTTAAGACTGATATTTTTTAAGGTTTGTGGACTACCGAATACATTGTGAGAAGTTTCTTTCAAGGCATTTGTTTGTTATTAACAGACATTTGGTACCACCTGTGTTCAAGATGCTATGCTAAATGTTATAAAGATGTAGTTGAGATTCTATCCTGTCAAGCTGGTGAGCTGGCAAATGTCGATAAAGGAAGGAGCATGCTTTTCATTCACTCTTGATGTTACTTATCCTACAAAATTCTTTGTACACTTTTTCCTCTTTGTCCTAAGAATTTGGCTGAGTTCTCAAAATTATATTTGATCTTTATAGTTTTGGAACAATTAGTTTGTCTTTGAGGGGATAGAAGAGATTAAGGCAAGAATTATAGGTTGTGGCTGTCAAAGACAAAATTATAACAAATTTAGTTTAAAGGTCTTAATTGACTTTGATTTGCAATTCAAGAATCAGGCAATGCTTCATTTTATAGACCAAAGAAGGCTGAGGAAAGCAGAAACAGAAAACAAGCGATTGGTCTTTACAAAGTTATTTTTCTTGTAAAGGTTAAAGCAGAGGGGACTTCGTTATGCTGGCCAAAACTGTTCTCTTTGGTGATGTGGCTATTATTCCTCTTCTGACTTTTCAGAAATTAATATAAAAATCTTAGTTTTGGATTGGTGGTGATGCATAACTATATACAGTTCCATGTTTTTCAGTATGACTAGAAGTTGATGGGAAATAAGGTGGAATTGCTTTGTGTATGCATTTGAGGATACAGTGTTACCAGTTATAAGTGGTATGGAATCAAGAGGAAAATGAGGTAGGTCAGTGAGGATGGACTTGGTCAGAAAAACCTTCAAAATGAATATGTGACCTGACTCTACTTTAGGGAGAATATTCCAGGTAAGAGCAATAATGTAAGAATAATCCGAGAATTAAAATGAGGTGTAGACAATATACACTCTTCTCATCTTCACGAAGCACATACTCTAAAATCAACCACGTAATTGGACATAAAACAGTCTTCAACAAATGTAAAAGAACTGAAAGCATAGCAAACACACTCTCAGACCACGGCACAATAAAAATAGAAGTCAACACAATGAAAATCACTCAATATCATACAGTACAGGGAAATTAAACAACATGCACCTGAATAACTTTTGGGTAAACAATGAAATTAAGACAGACCTCAAAAAGTTTTTTGAAAATAATGAGAACAAAGATACAACATACCAGAATCTCCGGGACACAGGTAAGGCAGTGTTAAGAGGGAAATTCATGGCACTAAACACCCACATCAAAAAGTTAGAAAGGTCTCAATTTAATAACCTAACTTTACAACAGAAAGAGTTAGCTAAGGAAGAACAAATCAACCCCAAAGCTAGCAGAAGAAGAGAAATAACAAAAATATGAGCTGAACTGAAGGAAACCGAGATGCAGAAAACCATTCAAAATATCAGCAAATCCAGAAGTTGGTTTTCTGAAAAGACTGATAAGATAGGCCACTAGCTAGACTAAGAAAAAAAGAGAGAAGATCCAAACACAATTAGAAATGACAAAGGGAATGTTACTACTGACCCCACAGAAATAAACAACCTTCAGAAACTACTACGAATACCTCTAAATTGCTCGAAACTACACCCTCCCAAGACTGAGCCAGAAAAACATTAATTCCCTGAACAGACCAAAAACAAGCTCCAAAACCAAGTAAGTAATAAATTGCCTACCAACCAAAAAAGTCCAGGACCTGAAGGGTTCATAGCTGAATTCTACCAGATGTACAATGAAGAGTTGATACCATTCTGACTGTTACTGTTCCAAAAAACTGAATAGGTGGGACTTCTCCCCAATTCATTCTGTGAGGCCGGCATCATCTTGATACCAAAACCTGGCAGAAACAAAAGAAAAAAAGAAAACATCAGGCCAGTAACCTTGATGAACATTGATGCAGAAATCCTTAACAAAATGCTTGCAAACTGCATCCAGCAGCAAGTCAAAAATTTAATCCACCGTGAAGTAGATTTCTTCGCTAGGATGCAAGATTGCTTCAGCATACAAAAATCAATCAGTGTGATTCATCACATAAACAGAACTAAAGACAAAAACCATGTGATTATCTCAATAGATGCACACAAGGCTTTTGATAAAATTCAGCATTATTTCATGTTAAAAACTCGCAGTAAACTAGATATTGAAGGGACATATCTGAAATAATAAGAGTCATCTCTGACAAACCCACAACCGACATTATGCTGAATGGGCAAAAGCTGTAAGCATTCTCCTTGAAAACCAGCAGAAGTCAAGGATGCCCTCTCTCACCACTTCTCTTCAACATAGCATTGGAAGTCCTAGCCACAGCATTCAGGCAAGATAAAGAAATAAAGGGCATCTAAATAGGAAGAGGAAGTCAAACCATCTCGTTCTTTGCAGATGACATGATTCTGTATCTAGAAAATGCCATAGTCTTGGCCCAAAAGCTCCTTCAGCTGGTAACTTGAACAAAGTTGTAGGACACAAAATCAGTGTACAAAAATTGCTAGGATTCCTATACACCAACAACAACCAAAGTGAGAGCCAAAACAGAAAGTTAATCCCATTCACAGTTGACACACACCCACCCACCAACCCAGGAATACAGCTA